CTCGACGCATACTTCAAGGAGAGACTTCAAGAAAGACCATAATATCATAGCGTTTTTTCGAGCGTATAAATTCAATCGGTACAAGTAAATCAAAAATTACGTGCACCATTCTTGAAAGTGTTTTTTCCGCTCTACAATACCTAGTTTGTCATTTTCTTTAGAATTGCATTGCACTTATACTAATTTTTCGCTTCACATAAAGGAAAAAACCGTCAAAATGAAGATTCTTCAGATCCTCTAGTTCTTATCGAACCTTGGTTTAATCAACCCTACATACCTCTTCTGCGCAAATTAAGACCGTATTCTTGTCATACAATTTGAGAATAGTGAATATTTTGAGAAACAGCCCAATGATTTTTTTTTTTCATGTTGGTGACATTTTGCGGCATGGTATAAAAGTCACCATAATGACAAAGTGAACATCCCTGATTAGTTTTCTGCTTTTGTTCTTCTCTTCAGTGGTTTGCGTGCAAAAATGAGAAATGCAAGCGCTGCGATATTGTGCTCCAACCCAATAAATGAGCGCTGTCGAATGCGTCGCATATGCTATGCCCAGGACCAAATAGATTTGGCGCCGGTAGATCCTTTGCCAAAATTGCTCGAAGCAAATTCCCACAAATTGAAGATCCTTTAGTTTGTTTATCGAAATTCTTTTGCCAACTACGTGACTTGTTCCTTGAATTTGAAGTCCACATTGATTTCAAATGCAAACAACATACAGATGCAGATATCACGATGAATGGAGGGCGGTGCGGTTTCGATGACGTCATTGGACATTATTGGTGGACTAGCCCCTGGGGCTGTGGTTAAACCCACCTCCTAACGCCGTTCAGCTGGTGACATTCAATGACGTCATAAAGAGAGAGACATCCCTGACATTGTCATTACTGTTATTTTTTTTATAACCTCTCATTTATATATTGCATCTTACGCTATATATCATATTATTGTGCTACATATTAAAATATTTTATAAGGTCGGTCCATAAGTCTTGCAACAAACTACATTATTGCCAGAAAATCTTTTGGAGACCTTCGAAAACTTTGCAAGCTGTTTGCTGAGCTAGCATCACCTTTTGCAATTCCAGCCAACCGACCAGCTCGCTCTCTCGCTACTTGTTAGAGCTAGCACACCGATTTCGCAGGGAGCTCTTCGTGCCCTCAATTTCCGCTCGGGAAGTCCTGCAAGTCATGCCACACCAAGGATTCACCAGAGGATGGACGAGGACACGCTCTCTCCATCCACAGCACACCGGCGCTCAATCTGCTCGGCTTTGACTTTTTTTTTAATTGAAGATTATCCACACTCCAACTACCCAGTCACGATGCTATACCTGGCGTCGTTAAAAAAAAGATCTGGGTGGACTATCGATCATTGCCAGAGCAATTCTGATGCGACAAGAAGACAGTACTGTGGTTTCTCCAAAGACTTTTGAAGATCCGGAAATATAGAGTTTGCATTCCACATGCAATGAGCCCGGATCAGCTCCAAACGCGATCTGACATCGTCATGGTTAAGACGACTTACTATGGTTTGTCCCATTGACCATCCATCGCATTGTGGTTGATGAGGAGAGGCTATAGTGTGTTAACAAATAAACAAGCGGCGATAGTCTAGCTCAAACGCTTTGGGAGTTCTGAGTGGTGAAGTACAACCTCGTCGAAGTCAGGCCTTTCCGAATTTTTAATGGAACACGAGAGGAGTTGAGCAGTGGAAGCTATTATAACGAGATGTTATGGTCAACGGAGAAGTCAACCCTCCATAGCTCGATTGTAATACATTGACCATGAAAGAAAAACAAGACAAAGTCTACTCTTTTGCGACGCTGTTGAACGACCCCTTGCTAAGAAAAACCAGGAAAATCTTAGAACTTTTGGACGAAGAGTTCTACTATATACGCCTTATGGCCCTCACCTCATACTACCAGATGCCCACCACCTTCCCTCTCGAGACCACATTCTAGAGGGAAAATCTTATTGTTACCATCGTGATATCAAAGTCGACATCTAATCTTTCTTCGATCAGCGTTCCACAGAGTTCCACAAGAGAGGCATGGAACAGCATCTGTTGAGTTAGCAATAAGTTGTAGATATTGACGATGTGTGCCATGCTGGATGAGTGGAACAAAAAGGTAACAAAAATATTAAAATCAAAATTATGCCAGTTTGTTGCAAGACTTACGGACCGACCTAATATTTTGATATTCATTTATTTTTCACACAGGGAGTAGAGGTAGTGTAGCGACAGTAGGCGCTATTTCCTTCGCGCACGGTCGGAGACCTAATCTCCGATTGACGCTCGCTCAAGCCAAAAATCTTCGATCCCTCCGGGCTAGGTCAGTAGGTGTCGTCCGAGAGGTTTAAACACTTATGGTTAGTCGTATGCATCAACTGGCCTTCGTAAGACAGTATTCGTTGCTCACAACTCCACCCAGGATATGGAGTCATCGCCATCGGCGTCATGCCCAAGGAAGCACACCGCATTCGACTCAGCCTAAGCTGCTACCTGATTTCTTCACTCAAATACCTGTTGAAGTTCCCTTTGAGCGAGGGATTACAATGAAGTGTGTGTGGAGAATGCAAGTACTTGTAGAAACATTAGTTGAGTGGACTGGTGGAAGCAGTAGCCAGGAGCCACTGAAAACGAGACGTGGCCTCAAATGCGCTAGTCGCAGCGCACTGGGCTTGTCAATCATACCTGAGCTCCACCTCCGCTTGTGCTCCGCCCATTAGTCTGATAAGAGCCTATTGCCGTTGCCGCGGCTCGAAAATGCGCGACAACTGTCTTATGAGAAAGCTGGCTCGGGGCCACTAGTACTAGCTCTTGGACGAGTTAGCTTGGCTGCGTGATGCTAGCGCGATTGAGTGAACCTTACGCGATTGCGTGTCCCTGCGCCATCGCATGTAAACTGCGCTGCATGTGGAAGAATGCTTTTCTAATGGTGAAGGAATTGTTTTTGAATGGTTTCACTCTCTCATGTCTTTAATTAACGTATTTCAATGTTTGTATTGGTGCGCGTGTCAGTTTTTGTACCGGTACATACTGATCATTTTTGTTGCACGTGCACTTCTTGCTGACACGAGCCGCGGCGGAATAAGCTATTTCAGAGAGCTCGACCGAAACGCCCGTCCCTCATTCCAGTGAAGAAGAGAGGATTCTTCATTTAAGGGCCTCATCGGCAGTTCTCATTGTTTCTTTTTTTCATTTGCAGTCAACTCGGCATCCACAGTATCATTATCGACCGCTTCCAAGGCAAAATTCAGGATCAAATTGATGAGGTAATTACGTGGAAGTAGGGGTGGGAGGTGGACCACTAGAGGAAAAAAGGAAAAAAAATCGTGAAATGCACAGAAAATACGAGTCTCCTGCTCCGATTGCTGCGGAGAGGTTCACAAGATCGGCAGGGAGATGAGCGAGTGGAGAGTGGTAGAGTGTAGAGTAGTACGAGTAGAGAGTGCATAGCAGATCAACACTGCGACGCAGGCAAGATATCGAAGGGTAGGCGGAGCGTGTCAACTGGTGGAGCGTGCCAAGATCCTTGACGGCCAGCGTCTTAGTGACGCGTTTCAATGCAGGAAGGTGGCGCGTCTTCTGTAATTGTGTCACACGCACTTCTAGTCACTCTAGGGCCTTACCAGGTCGATCTGAGCCCGAACTTTGCCTTTAACCCCACCAAATCGACCTGGGGGTGTTGTCTTGAGCTCGAATCTTGCATCATTTTCCAAAAGCGGTTTCTTTTGATGTCACTCGTGTGAGAAGTTACT